CCGTTAGCCCGGTGACGCAGGACCAGGAGATGAGGCTGTTAGCCCGGTGACGCAGGACCGGGAGATGAGGCCGTTAGCCCGGTGACGCAGGACCGGGAGATGAGGCCGTTAGCCCGGTGACGCAGGACCGGGAGATGAGGCCGTTAGCCCGGTGAAGCAGGACCGGGAGATGAGGCTGTTAGCCCGGTGACAGGACCGGGAGATGAGGCCGTTAGCCCGGTGACGCAGGACCAGGAGATGAGGCCGTTAGCCCGGTGACGCAGGACCGGGAGATGAGGCCGTTAGCCCGGTGACGCAGGACCGGGAGATGAGGCCGTTAGCCCGGTGACGCAGGACCGGGAGATGAGGCCGTTAGCCCGGTGACGCAGGACCGGGAGATGAGGCCGTTAGCCCGGTGACGCAGGACCGGGAGATGAGGCCGTTAGCCCGGTGACAGGACCGGGAGATGAGGCCGTTAGCCCGGTGACGCAGGACCAGGAGATGAGGCCGTTAGCCCGGTGACGCAGGACCGGGAGATGAGGCCGTTAGCCCGGTGACGCAGGACCGGGAGATGAGGCCGTTAGCCCGGTGACGCAGGACCGGGAGATGAGGCCGTTAGCCCGGTGACGCAGGACCGGGAGATGAGGCCGTTAGCCCGGTGAAGCAGGACCGGGAGATGAGGCCGTTAGCCCGGTGAAGCAGGACCGGGAGATGAGGCCGTTAGCCCGGTGACGCAGGACCGGGAGATGAGGCCGTTAGCCCGGTGAAGCAGGACCGGGAGATGAGGCCGTTAGCCCGGTGAAGCAGGACCGGGAGATGAGGCTGTTAGCCCGGTGACGCAGGACCGGGAGATGAGGCCGTTAGCCCGGTGAAGCAGGACCGGGAGATGAGGCCGTTAGCCCGGTGAAGCAGGACCGGGAGATGAGGCTGTTAGCCCGGTGACGCAGGACCGGGAGATGAGGCCGTTAGCCCGGTGAAGCAGGACCGGGAGATGAGGCCGTTAGCCCGGTGAAGCAGGACCGGGAGATGAGGCCGTTAGCCCGGTGAAGCAGGACCGGGAGATGAGGCCGTTAGCCCGGTGACGCAGGACCGGGAGATGAGGCCGTTAGCCCGGTGAAGCAGGACCGGGAGATGAGGCCGTTAGCCCGGTGAAGCAGGACCGGGAGATGAGGCTGTTAGCCCGGTGACGCAGGACCGGGAGATGAGGCCGTTAGCCCGGTGAAGCAGGACCGGGAGATGAGGCCGTTAGCCCGGTGAAGCAGGACCGGGAGATGAGGCTGTTAGCCCGGTGACGCAGGACCGGGAGATGAGGCCGTTAGCCCGGTGAAGCAGGACCGGGAGATGAGGCCGTTAGCCCGGTGAAGCAGGACCGGGAGATGAGGCCGTTAGCCCGGTGAAGCAGGACCGGGAGATGAGGCCGTTAGCCCGGTGACGCAGGACCGGGAGATGAGGCCGTTAGCCCGGTGAAGCAGGACCGGGAGATGAGGCTGTTAGCCCGGTGACGCAGGACCGGGAGATGAGGCCGTTAGCCCGGTGAAGCAGGACCGGGAGATGAGGCTGTTAGCCCGGTGACGCAGGACCGGGAGATGAGGCCGTTAGCCCGACGCAGGATGTACAGTTCCCGCTGGATTTAAGCTTAATAAAGTCTGAACCAGGGGCGTCACTAGGATTTTCATTTTAGGGGGGCTAAGCCTCCAATGAGGGTATGATTTTTTTTTAAATAATAAAAAAAGTTAACGCTCTCTATTAACCAGTTTCATTACCATGCAAAGGCAGGGTTTTATAATCACTGTGGTCCCAAATGTGAGGTAGGGTAGATAAGGGGGTTCGGGGGTTTCACCCGAGAAAATTTTGATTCCTCTGATCTACATATGTGCATTTTAAGAAAAAATTGGATAACAGCTTTAAAACCATGTCAGTGGGCAGCTGATTATTTTTCTCTCCTCCTCATCTCTTGCCCTGTCTCTTCCCCTCCTAAAGCTGAGCTTTGACTGATATAGGCTTTTCATTTTTGTCTGTCAGTGAAGAAAGTAAACCTAGGGTCAACTGATAGGGTGATTTTGCCTATGAATCATTTTCTCAGACGCGTTTATTTACTGAAAGCTACTAAAGCTAGGTATTAAATGCATTCACAATATGTAGGCTACACATTCATTATTGATCTTATGCCTAATACAGGGCCGTAGACACAGGGCTTTATAATCACAGAGGTCCTAAATTTGATGTTGGTAGGGGGTTCCATTTTTTTATTTGTCTGATGTGCATTTCAAGATGAAAAAAAAGGATAAGAAATAGCTTTAAAACCATGTCAGTGGGCAGTAGATTATTTGTCAATACCTGCTCTCTCCTCATCTCCATCACTTTCTTTTTTTCTCAGTCTCTTCATCCCTTTCTCTTCCCCTAAAGCTGAGCTTTTTTAATTTACTAAAGGCTACAATTTGTATTATATTCTCAATATGTACACATTCATTATTAATCTTGTGCCTAACATGATGAAAACGGCTCTGTTAATGTTTCTTGT